GCGAAGCTCGCGAAGACGCCAGCAATACAAAAATGGATTGATGGACGAATTCATGAATACTGCGGTATTAGCAAATTGCCATACTGTTCGCCAGTCCTTTATGGAGAGACCGTAAAGAGTCAATAAAACATATATTGGAAGATAGCAAATAATCAAAGCTATGTAGAAGACGAAAGTATTCATTGCGCTTCTTTTCAGTCGCGCTATGTTTAAGTTATTTCCTCTATTAAAACTTAGCGCTGCCTGTTGTTGAGCGTGACTTTGTAACTGATGTCGACGAACAATATGATAAATTCTGATGTAAGAAAATGTGGAAATTATAAGACAAATAATGATAACAGCGCCTGCAGTAAACCTATGTAAACTTTCGCTCCAAAGGTCAAACCCTGAAAGAAGGGAACTAATCAACCATATGATTATTAAAATATATTTAACACGGGATTCAGTCATTAAAGTAGCATATCTCATGTGATAGTGAAGAGCCAGAAATCGATCCACAGTCATGGCTGTTATGGTCAAGAAAGAAACTCCACATAAAGAATACCCCATCATCACTGAAACTTTGCTGAAAGTTGAAGTTGAGAGCAGAAACTTCAAATTGAGTGCAAAAATTTGAAGTTAAATTCCAAACTTAAATCGATCTAACTTTAAAAGGGACCTCAGATGTCGCTTATATCTTGTTTATTTACAATTCTCCATAACAACATGAGCTACAAGTCAAACAAAATCTAAAGGAAAAAAGGAAAATTCCCATCTCGCTCTAAACGTCAATACATCTTTTCGTTCAGAAAGCATTTTGTCTAGTTTTCTTCTCTTTCTTTACATAACATCTGCCTTGCTGTCTTTACAACCGCCGTTCGGAGCGCGCGAAGACGCCAGCAAAACAAAAATGGATTGATGGACGAATTCATAAATACTGCGGTATTAGCAAATTCCCATTCTGTTGGCCAGACCTTTATGGAGAGTCCATGAAGAGTCAATAAAACATACAATGGAAGATAACATATAATTAAAACTATGTAGAAGACGAAAGAGCTCACTGCACTTCTCTTCAATCGCGTTATGTTTAAGTTATTTTCAGCGTCAGAACTTTCCACTGCTTGTTGTTGAGCGAGAATTTGTAACTGATGTCGACGAACAATGCGATAAATTCTGATGTAAGAAAATGCTGAAATTTGAAGACAAATGACAACAAAAACG